CAAAAAATTAATTAAAAAAAAACTTATTTTGGGATCGTGATTATAAATGGATGTTTTAAAGTTCAGTGATTCTTTACTTTATGTTATATGTACATGTGATAAGGAATATAGTCTCACATAGACCTTACAAACCGAACTCGACGAGATAGAGCGAGAAACTCGGCGGAATTGGCCAGGATCGATCCTACACGTCATGATCGATCCCACGTTAAACCCGCTAAGGTCGATCCTACACCGAATTCAGCTAAGGTCGGTCCTACATTAATCCTAATCCTAGATAGTCGTACGGTGGATAAACGCCTATATATATAATGAAAGCATTAACCACGAATGGTAAGATACATTTAATACACAGTAATTACATTAAAGTCGGTTTATCCTCATCACCAAATTCTAACTTAAGTATCAGAGGATTTTGAGCCGGAGTTTGCAGGTATTCCGTTTAACTCCCAATCCAGCTGGAGATTGGAGAAGAAGTGCTCTACCCTCGTGCCCGGAGATCATTCCAGGACCGGAGTCATCTACAATGGACCTTATCAAATTGGCACCGACTGCGGAAATCTCGGCTTGAACAGGATAGCTCGACGGTATTGTCACAAAAAAATCATTTGGTAAGTTGAAATGGGAGACAATGAGACACCCCCCATAAAAGATGAAGAGGACAGCACATGGCTACACATTCGACCCATATGAATCGGACCACCCCTGGGATGCCTTTCTGGCGAAGAGTAGTCTAGGACACCCGCCCCTGAGACCAGACATGAACAAGTGTTAGCGATGGGAACCCCAAGCACTCTGGCGATAGTGGGCAGGTCTAAGGATCTACCAAGGGCAGTATTAAGGACCCCACGTCAAGGAGAGCAAGGAATCACAAGGAGATGGTAGAGCAGGGACCAGTGGTAAGCCCCCAAACACAAGGTCGACCCAGCACCCCCAAATCGTTACTACACATCAGCAGACCAGAATAGAGAAGCTGATAGTGGAGGCTATAGAAGCACGCACTTTGTAGACACCTCTTACCGCGGAAGTAGCGGCCCGATCCAAGGAGCAACGCATAGCACCGAGGCACAAAGAGGACGAGCCCGAGTGATTTATCCATTCACCGGAGCCCACGTCGCAGGCTAGGAAAGATTCCATGCTACAGAAGATGGCAACACAATTGCATGAAATGCAAGAAAGAGTCGAGGGCAGGAAGGGACGTCGAATCCATGGGCATTCGTTCATGGACAATATACTAGACACAGACTTTTATCCCTGGATTCCATGAGCTTACATTATCGTATGATGGCTTGTCTCACCCAACAAGATATTTCAAGAGTTCCGAGAACATGGCAGTGTTACATAAGTACAGTGATGCAGTGTGCTGTCGAGCTCTAGTTGCCATGTTAAAGGGACTTGCCCAAGATTGGTTCCAGCAACGAGCTCCAGGTGTTGTGAGGGATTTTCGAGGATTTATCTCGATGCTCGTCAACCAATTCTCGAGTGTGCAGAAACACGAGAAGACTCAATCTAGCAGTAATCAATATGAAACAGCGAGGGGGAGAGCCGTTGAGAGCCTATGCGGACAGATACCCACGAGAATGTGTCGAGTTATCGACAGCATCAGAAAAAATTGTTTTGTAGTATTTTGTGGGTAGTTGGTAACCGAGCTACCCGACCTCGAGTCATTCTCAAAGGAAGACAGTTCGGAGCTTTGTTCACCACTTAATTGTCCAAATCACACAAAATGAGAAAATAAAAGTTCAACATGCTAATCAATTTGGATTGGGGATGAATTAACACTAATTGCACGAGGAATTAAAAGCAACAATCAAACGAGAGAATAACGCAACTAACACTATCCGAGTCTCTATGCCATCGAAACTAAATGAATTCAACGACGAACAATATGCAAGTTCTAAGCACTAGGACACTAACCCTAACATTCTAACCTAAGTGATTAAGTTCTAAATAGAGTCCTAACCTTTAATCTAGATAGGCAAGTAATTAGTCCCTACTAAAACAAGCAAGAACAATGATCAAGTCCAAACATTCCCTCCATCATCAAGCAAACACCCAAATTCACCTTGATAATCATCATAAGTAAAGACGAGGCAAAAATTGAAGTAATGAGCTTTAAAAGTAAATACCCAATCTTCTATTGCGTGCTAGACGAAAATCGGAGTCAAAAACTCGAAACTTGAACAAAATAAGAGGCGGAAAATGA